GGTCGCTTTAAGTCAGTTGCTCAATGAAACACGCTGCAAAAGTCAGGAGTCGGCTAGTGAGAGTCGCCCCAAACCCTGAATGATGAGCTTTACTCTCATCCCCTAACCCTAAGCCCCTACTGTAGAAGCCAGAAAGTTGGAACATCATTATCCTGATGCCCTTAAGGTAAAGTATAAGGGATCCTAGCACTCATCCTCCTGACCCATGTTCCAACTTTGTGTCTTCTACTATATAACCTCAAACCCCTAAACCCCAAGCCCATAAGTTGTAAACCCCAAACCCAAAACCAGGGTTGAGGAGAACCTATCGGTGCTTGCCAGCACAGGCAACCAAGGGGCCCATCCGCGCAATTCAACACAAGCCACCCTGAAGCGTTTGAACTCTCAATCCTTATAAGCCCTAAAAATAAATCATCCTACGCATCTGCACTTTCAAACTACACAGCGCTGAAGGCCCAAATTGATCTTATTATAGAATACCGGGCCCCAAAACCCTATTCTAATGATCAAGGCCCCTATCGTAGGCCCCATCTTCAGAACGATCTTTAGCAGCACAGGGAAAGCTTCGGCAGATGATCGATGCTGGAGTCAGGGCCACCTGGGCTTTTGTTATCGAAACAGCTTAGGATACGGGAGTTTCTGAAAGTTAGGGGTACCTCATTTTGGGGGTCCTTATAACGAGGATCCTACGATTTAGGGTGCTGTATTGGGATCCCCTGTTCTTGGCAACTCCCATAAGAGTTTTCGTTTTCGGGGATGTAAATGGTTTAGGTCAAGGTAGAGTTTGTTCGCGGTTTTGGGCTGACGGTTTTTGGTATAAGAGGGCTTAGGGCTTTTGGCTTGCAGGATTGGTTTTGGGCTGTAGGATTTGGTGACCGGCTTGGTTTATCTTTCTTCTACTAAGCACAAGCATTACAGGAACTGGAAAACAGTCTGCTGCCAGAACTAAAACGGAGACATTCTAGGGCTCAGGGAGGGTTGCGGGAACTAAAATCCCTTCATGGTCCTTGTTATACGGCGTACTCTTCAGGAGATTCCCGAAGGCAACTAACGAAATTATAGTTGCCTGGGCAACTTGTGAGTACCCATTCCCTATTTCGTAGACCCTGTCGGCCCTACCCCATACTTAGGAATCACCCGAGGAAGTAGTCATGAGGCGCTTCTCGTCTTTGCGTTCTCTGCTCCCTGGAACAAATTCACCGCCCTTAGGGATCTTTTAATAGAACCCCCGAACTCTAAACTTTCTGAATGGCAAAGGCTGGCATGGCGGATTACGACTACCGCACTGCTCTCCACCTGGCATCCTCCAATGGCAATCTGGAAACCTGCTTGTTTTGATTTCAATTGTTTAGGGTTTCGTGCTCATGCTTGAATTTCTCGTGTCAACGATAGAAGGGTCTAGGTACTCACTCGAAACACTGCCCGTCTGTGAGCTGTGCTGTAGATCTACCATTGGTGCATCAAATGCTGATCTAGGACAGATGCAATAACAAGTACAGTAGTAATGATACTACCAATCGCAGTATTTACCATTGTTGTTTCTTATTATCCTTATTCTTCTCCTTATCGCAAATAAACAAGTAGCAAGGTCGCACGTACATTTTTACGAACAAGACGGGCTGAGATCAAGCTTCCACAGCTGAAGCTTCTAGACCAAAGGCCCGCAAGCCACTAAGCGTAAACAGGCAACCCTTAACCCAAAGCCCGGTCTTGGGGGGTTTGGGGAAGTTCAGGGTTTAGGATTTTGGGTGTTATCTGAGGGTTTAGGGTTTACCGATAACACAGAACCCTGAACCTTAGACCATTGACCGTGAACCTCTCAGGAGACATGCGCCTTCCTTCTGCGCGAGGGTAAGGTGGATCCGAATCCCTTGGACAGATTTCTTCATACTCCCCTGGATGATGCAATCCGGCACGGTCACAAGGCCACGCAGCTGCACTCCAATGTGCAGGGTCTCAACTAACTAGAGTTTGCTTTTTGGCTATGGGGATGTCGTAGCCCCGAGCACACCCCGCCTACAGTCGCAGCTAGGCATACAGCCTCGATGTGCTTTCCTTCAAAGACTCACGAAAGTTTCTGCAACTCCGAACCCGAAGACCCTAAACCCTTGAACCCATACATGTCAAGCCCTGATCCCCCTCGAGGATGTGGCGGAGCTGCTGATCAAATTTAAGGGAAGACCCTCCACCGACGACGAGTACCTCAGCACGGTCCGCGATGAGTTCTTGAAGCAGACACTCAGACCCGTCTGGGTTCCATTTGTGGTGTCTGTTAGCATCCACATATCTGATCGAGTTTTGTGTTTCAGGTGTGGCACGAAGAGGCCAAGAGCATGGGTCCTGGGTCCTTTTCTTGTGTCCACTCTTGCTTCTGCACATACTGACTGTGGTGAAGCACGGGGCGAACGGTTCCTTTTCCACATCGGGGTTTTCAACTGAGGAATCAGTCTTTTCACGGTCCAATAGAAGTGTCTCAAGAATAGTAGTAGCACATACAGATGCCGAGCCTCGCCAAGACCAGCGCACCTCAGGTATCATTTCTGCATCTTCGTCTCTCTACGCTGTAGGCTAGCGGCTAGCGCTAGAACATTAACTTGGAGGGTCATGAGTCATGGCACTTAGTGAGATATATGTACTTCAGTAATATTATAAGCCGGTCTGAAAGATCTGGGCACAGCCACCTTTATATTTATGGGGGTATTTTTTAGCCGAGTCACGAAGTCCCATGGCCTTTTAAGTGCGGTAGACCTGCGACTGATTCAGAGTCTCGCAAACCCTAAACCCCTAAACCTTGATATGTATGCCTATCCATGCCCAGCAGCAAGATGCGCGCCGAGGATGGAGGAGGAAAAGGCACGCAAAGACACTGACAAGCTGGACAAGGAGAGCAATTTGGGCGGGGGTGGGGGGGTTGGGGTTTAGGCACAAGTCCTGATGCAAAAGAAGTTTTAGAGGTTGGAGTGCTTGAGATGCGTGGGCTTAAGGATATTTAATTACAGCTCAATTTTCGGAATCATGGGCCTCAAAACCCTAAACCCTAAACCGTGATCCCGTGCATGTGGCGCTGCTTGGAGGTTCATGGGTAGTTATAAGTGGGGTCATAAGTAGGGTAACTATAGTCATAATCCATATTAGGGGACTAACCCCACTTATAACTACCCATGAACCTCCAAGTAGGCCCTACAAACCCTATACCCTACAGATCCCAAAGGCTACTTTCTTAAACCCTCCCACCGCAAGGAGCTGAAGACGCACAAGTTCTCCGAGGTTTTGGAGCGATTGGCACGGCTCCGTTCTGATCTAGAGGACGGTTTGCCGCTTTAGGACTTTAGGAGTTTGATCACGGGTTTCATAGTTCTGAGGGCGGTTCATGCTTGGGCTACGGTGTGTAGGTTCGAGGTTGTGCTCTTTTGAGGAAGATCAACGCCAAGATTGAACCGTCTGGGGTTGTGATTTATGGAAAGTACCTATACAAATCGTGCGAAGTTAAAAAACACTGCTTCAGAGATGCTCACTACTTGGAGGTTCATGGGTAGTTATAAGTGGGGTTATCAGTCCCCTAATACTTCACTTCTAATTCCGCATGAACCTCCACGTACATTTTTAAAGTTTAGTTGATACGGTTTCTTTACACAAGTCCTTAGAAAGATAGGTTATTCGGGGTCAAGGTACTGCTTACTTGTTAAAGTTCAGCTTGCAACTGCTTTTCCGGGACTTTGGTTTCGATTTTGCTCACAGGCAGGGTCCTCCCATATGCGTAGCTGTCACAATTAGGGTCCAATTCTTGGATACCTCAAACAGTAGTCGCCGTATTATCGTAGGGATCCCACAACGGTACCATAATTTTGACATCCACCAATATACGGTCTGCATCAGGCAGCCTCAGCTGCTGAAACTCCTAAATAACTTTTTGTGGTGTTAGGGTTTTGAATTGTTAACTGGTGTTGCTTACCGGGACGTAACGTTCAGCGTTTAGGTTCGCTGGCAGACAGGACGACGTGTACCAATTCATGACCTCCGCGGCCAACATCCGCTACGAGCTGTGCCGCATCCTCCACATGAACATGTTCCTGCACACCGAGATGCGATTGAGTAGTGTTTGTTTGCTTCGGTGCCCCTTTACCTTCAAAATGCAGCCAGCCGGAAGCAACACACAGCGATGTTAAAGCCAACCACCACCGTCGCACTTTGCCCCAGTGTCAGGAAAATGCTAACCCTAAACCCAGAACCCTAAACCCTAAACTCTAAACCAAGCGAGGCATGATGAGTCGAGCCGTACCAGGGCTGGCTGGGACAGGTTGACGCAACAGCTCCTCGAGTGCCTTTCGGTGTTTAGGGTTTAGGGTTGGGGTTTTCTAAGCTTGCCTGAAACTGTCCCAAACGCTGAAGCCGAAAACGAGCGCGAGGTTCGGACGGGGGGAAGAACCCACGCACCCGCCCCATAGTGGTGTTCCTCCTGGTTGACCCCTCAGACCTCTCATGTACTGTAGAGGCCTAAATAATTACCAATAACTATTTTGGGGGTTCCTTATCACAGGTATAGTATATTGGCCCCGCAAAACCCGCTTCTAATTGTTAAAGCCTCCTATAGGCGTCAGGGTTACTGTGAGGTTGTGACCTTCGAAGCAGAAGGGTTTAGGGCCCGGGCTTGCGCTTGACCATTTACGCCGCACTGGGCACTGTGCAGCATAGTGTCAAGCTCTCCTGGACCCGGAAGCCCTCATGGCTGTACACCGTACGTGAAACATGCATGGGTGGTTGTCAAAAATTAGGGTCCCTTTTTTGGGGTATCCTAAATATCAGGTGCCGTACTATAATATGGACCCAAAAAGTGACCATAAGTCTGACAACTACCGGCATGCATAGAGTAGCATGGTATGCCAAGGTCCAAGGTATAAGTATGAAGGTGGTTAGGAAGGTCTTACAAGGGACACTCGCAATTCACCAACCCTATTACTCTGCTTGTCATGCTGTTTTGCTTTGAGATTGAATGAGCCTGAGGGCAATCTTGTTTTGGGAACTGACCCATCGCTGTCCCAAGACGCAAAGGCGAATAAGACCCCTGGTTTAGGGTTCAGGGTTTCGGGGTGTAGGTCAGTCTGGGCCTGACGCTTCGAATGCCTGTGAGAGAGAGAGAGAGAGAGAGAGAGAGAGAGGTACCCCAATCAGGGGCCAAGGTTTGGGGAAAAGGGTCGCAGGGGAAATTCTCCAGGGTAGTCGCCGGCACAGCCAGAAGAAAGAACCTGAGGCTTGATGACCACAGCCTTACGACGCAGAAGCTGGCGGATCTTTTGGAAAGAGACCTTCGCCAGCGACCTTGATGCAGTGGGAGGATGAAGGGTTCAGGATTTAGGGTTTAGGGTTGAGTATAGGGTTTAATTAGGGTTTAGGATTTAGGGTTTAGGATTTAGGGTTTAGGATTTAGGGTTAAGGCTTCTGGCTTCGATTCCAGACTCGAGGCTTATGCGCATCTGGTGTTGGGATTCAATGTTTTCAGGCCCCGAGAATGAATTTGGAGTTAAGGGATTGCTGAACAGGGAGTCTGCGGTTCCAGATTTGGGTCTAGGGTTTAAGGTTTTCGGTTTTAGGATTCGGCGTCGTGTGGCTTCGTTTCAATCGCCGGGTCTGCAGCGATCCTTGCTTCAGGAATGGAGCCTTTGCCAAGTACTACAGGGGCCCAATTAATTACCTGTCCTATTTTTGGGGGCTCCTTATTATAATTAATTATAGCATAATGGGCCTATTCTAATAGTAACTTTCTGCGACATGCTGTGCAATACTGCAAGCCTTAGTTCTTGCTACTGGCGAGGCGGAATCACTAACAACACGTGGGCTCGACTATCATCGCGGAAGTTCCTTGTTGATTGCGTAACAGTGCGCAAGCATGTCAACATATTGCTCAAAGACTGGTAGGTTTCGCCACATGCAAGCCGTACCCATAAGCTTTGTCGCCTTAAACCCTAAACGCCGGCCCAAAACCCCACACCCCATCCTACGTCCGGCAGGGTCCAGGCAAGCGCTCGCAGCAGATCTCCAGCACAATATGGTGCCGTTCTTTCGTGTTCACTACCCCTATATACCTGTTCATATGAGGTCCCAGCATCCTTCAATTTATCTAGGAATATACCTGATGTTGCAGATGGCCGGGCATCTTGTGTACCTGAGGAAGGGGATAACGGAAGCCTAAGCCCCATTGCCCTGTAACCCTAAGATCTAAGCCCTAAACTTGTGAACTCAGACATGAACACCCTATATGCCCCTGAACCCCGAACCATGAAACCCAAAAGTAAAACAGAAATCCAAAACCCTGTAGCCCGTAACCTTGAACCCTTAATCACATCAAAAAACACTGAATGCTGAGGCTTGATAGCAGCGCCTCCCGGATCCTGAAGACGATCTCCGGCGACGTCTTCCCCTGGCTGAACTCAGCTTGCAACAACTTTCACACCCGCGGCTTGTAGTAGAGCGAGTCATCTTTACACTTTTTTTATATTATGATCCCTGTATGCACCCAAAAGCGCAGGTACATGTAGTAGAGTCAGCAGTCTTTAATCTGTTTTGGGGGTACTGTAACCCCTAGTCATAAAGCATCCTCAAGGTGAACCTTAAGCTCTTGGGAGAAGCTGGCTCAGTAAGGTGGTCTGGTGTTGCTCCTCCTACCCAACTTCTCAGACCATTTGTCGAAGTTGGTGGTCGTGCTGAACCATGCAACTTGGAGGCAGAGAAACCAAAGCCACAAACCGTAAGCCGCATGCTTCAGTTTGGCAGGGTTCAGGGCTGATGTAGGAACCTGATTAAGAAACCTTGGCCATTATTAGGGTTGCTTATATGAATCCTACGATTTGGGGTTATACGCCCCGTGTTTCTTAATCAGGTTCCTACCCTAAACCCTAAACAGTGAGGGTTCACAAGCCTATGCTGACGCCCAGCCAGGTTTAACCGAAACAAGTCTCCTAAACTTATCAAAATTCAATACGATTGTGGGTATAAGGCCATGGAGGGGTGCCACGTATGCAGCCATGTGGCTGTGCAAGTGATGTCTTAGCTTGTCAAACCAATGCACGCGGTATGTGCGTACAGTGCTTGTGCTGCGAACATGCAAATGCACGTGCGTATACGCGCAGTGCGCGCGTGTATACGTGCAGCACGCGCGGGGCGTGCGTACAGTGTGCGCGCGCGCGCGCGGGGCGTGCGTACAGTGTGCGCGCGCGCGGTTGGGGGTGTGTACAGCATACGCAGATGCTTCAGAGTGTTCGTTCACGAAGCTCTTGTGTTGCGTGAGAGTTTGAGGCACTGCTCCATGACACGCGGGAATATGTGGCTCCACTGACGACTAACCATACCATGATAAATTGTTTGATACAATGTACATTCTGTATAACTGTATACCTATATGGTCTATGATACATGATGTATGATATATGATATATGATATATGATACATGATATATGATATATGATATATGATATATGATATATGGTGTATGTTATATGATTCATATGGTATAGATCTGTAAGTATAGAAAAGCTGGTTCACTGGGTCATATCTTTAAAAATCATGACTCATAACTCACAACCCGTCGATCAGTGCTTCATGAACCTCAGTGAATGTTTAGTATTTAGATCGAGTATTGGCTATTGCCCTATTGACACCGACTAGGCGCCAAGCTCTTGAAGACTCTCGAATGTTGACCCTTCAGCCCCGTTCAGTCAACTGTAATCGCCATGAGTTAACTGAGTCAACATAGATTTCTCCCCTCGACACAAGGCACCCCCCTCAGAGGCGTGAACTGCTGTACACGATAATACCTTGAATGACCTAGACCTTGAACAATCACTCTCGACCCTGTCGACTCGGAGACATGGACTCTTATCTCTGAGACTAAAGTCTCCGGAGGCCAGAGACCATAGGCCCTGAGGGCCATGAGGCCACGGCCGTGGGCGGCTGGCACTTAACTCGTCTTGAGTCCTGTTTCCTGGTTGCCATGGCGAGCGATGGACGATGATGAACCTGGGAACGTATATACATTCAATAGTCCGGACTACCGTGACTTGACTACACTGTGTATGCGTTTGCGTATGTCGTCTCAGTGTGAATCTGTCAACTGTCAGACATGCCAGACCAAGATGGCACGACCACACAGATGGTAGTCTCGGTCGTCTTAGTTTGGTATTAGTCTTAGTCTTAGTCTAGTGTGGTTTTAGTTTTTGTCATGTATGAGTTGCGGGTCTATCACCTGTTGGGGCTCAGGGTTTGGGTTCTTGACTCTAGAGACGATAGTATAGCTAGAGTTAGAGCCTCGTGCAGTGCTCCTCAGGCGTCCAATGTGTCTAGTATCTAGAATCTAGGACCTAGGATCATGGGTATGTGGATAATCTGGATAATCGATGGTAGATCACAACTCCGGACTGGGTGCTAAACAAAAACAACAACATTAGACAAATTGAAGCTTTTAGATTTTAGATTTTAGATTAAAAACTAACTAAAAAACACAAAAAAACACATAATACCAATTTGGAAAAATGTTCAAAATTTAAAATGTTTACGGAAGGCAGCTGACGGTTTACGGCTTAAGGTTTAGGGTTTGGGGTCTAGGTCTAGGGTTTTGGACGTGCAAGACGCGCGCGCACACCCTACGCGCGCAGTGCGCGCGCACCGCGCGCGCACTGCGCGTGCCCACTGCGCGGAAAAAAAACAACACCAATTTAAAAAAAAACAACACCAATTTTAAAAAAAACAACACCAATTTTAAAAAAACAATACCAATTTTGAAAATGCGTACAGTGGGCCGTCGGTGCGCGCAGTGCGCGTGCGCAGCGCGCGCGCGCAGTGCGCGCGGTGGACGTGCGCAGTGCTTACATGCATGTTACAGGGGCTCGTGTAGTACAGATGCAAGGCTCGCATACGGAGCTGAGATTCAATTTTACACATTGCGTCCGTACAGTTCCTACACCTCTGCTGCGCAGCAGTAATGCATATTCAAACCCACCATCTATTTGCAACACATTTGAAGTTGAAACTGAAACTTTCAAACAGTATGTGGCATGTGGCATTTGGAACAATGGAGGCTGACGAACCTGCACCAAATTGCTTCAACAAATGAAGTCTAGATTAGTATACGTCCTTTCAACAAATCAACTCAACCGATTCATCCTCCCTTGAAGTGTCAACGTCCACAACCACAGCAATTTATCAGAAACACCAACCGAAAACAATGCTCATGTCCAGTCATGGACGTATTGTACTTAAACAAGAAAAACACACTAGCCACCACGCAGGTTTCAACTTTAGCGCCGAGCCAAGAGAACAAGTACTATGACAGACCGCACTAAATCCATTAGAATTTGTTTGGATGATGCAACAACAGAAACTGTGTTGGGTAAGCAGTCCGTGCTTGCGGTGCGTTCAGTACACTTGCCTAGTATACTACTTTTGTGACATACATATACAGAATGCTCAGAACGTCTTATAGTATTAGCAGTAGCAGCAGCAGCAGTAGCAGCATTAGCAGGGCATATAATATGAATGTGTGTGTTCTGAATTGTAATGAACATTGAACATTATGGATTTATCAAGCGCTATAGTGCTATGATGCATTAGTGTACTACCGCTACGGTTACTAGTTGCTAGTAACTAGTGTGTTAGTGTAGTGTTCCTCTTCTTGGCTACGCATGTCCACAACGTGTAATTTGCAAACCACTGATATATGTTGTTGTGTTTTCCGGTTTCCCTTAGGAACCTTAAGAATAAATAGTTGTGTCTCCAATCTCCAGCAATCCAACAATCAGGACATCGATCGCGGACAGTGTGACAAACTGGCAGGTGTTGCTTATTGCATTTGACGTTCGGCACACATATGTTTAGTGACAGTGGCAGGATATTTTTTTTTATGACAATATTCATTATTATATCATTGCGTCTATGTGTTCTTCTGGACGATTGGTTGCAACTTGCAACCTGAAGCTTAAAACTTGGGGGAAAATGATGGTCTTGTGATCTTGTGCATGTAAGAGTCAATAAGGGTCTCCCGCTGTCGTTTCAGTGGCATACCACATGAAAAAAATTAAAACCAGAAGACCATGATTAGTCGAAAAGAGTCGAAAGCAGAAGAGTCCGAAGGGTTACCATGGTTTGTTATCGGCTTTAATATTCAATGACCAATATGATTGGCGCTGACCCTGCAGGCTTCAGCCATGTTTCATGATGATTCAAATGTGGGCAGCGCATACACGCCGCACACTCCGCACGTACACGTCCGCGCGTTGCATGCACAACCCAGCACACTGCACGCGCAAACCGCGCACACCGCAGACAACCCACCGCACGCTGTACGCACGCACCGCCCGCGCCGCACGCACATGCACAGACAACCCACCGCACGCTGTACGCACGCACCGCCCGCGCCGCACGCACATGCACAGACAACCCACCGCACACTGTACGCACACACAAAAAGAGCCTTACCGCACAGGTTCTCATGTGCTCCCAACACAATCGTATTGAATTTTGATAACTCCTAAACCGTCATCTTGGTTTAGGGTTCAGGATTTTAGGGCTTTAGGGTGTAGGGAATTTTCGGTTGCTGCATGCAGTTGGAGAAGGGCCTGCAACAAACAAAAAACTAGGTAGGGCTTTGGGACCTTCTATATTTGCTCTCTTTGGGCTTAAGAGGATCTTACCTACTAATATTTTTTCACATGCTTTAAACACATTTTTTGGAAAAATGCGGCGCTACTGTGCACAAATAAAGCCGAATCCTCAGCCCGCAATGAAAAAAGCCTAGATCCGACCTGGACCCTAAAGAACCTCCCTTTTTCGGACTTATAAGGAAATCATAGCAGAGAGGCCTAAGAAGGTCGGGTTCTGTTAGGGTCTAGGTAAACCCTAAATCCTTTTGCAACGTTTCCTATCGCGAGCTCCTCTGAGCAGAAGTGGGATGTGCATCACCAGCTCAGCAGCGGACCAACTGGGGACTGGGTTGCTTTTGGATTCGATCTAGCTGCAAGGGGTCAGGACTCAGAGGGTTTAGGGTTTATCCGTTGCTCGTTGGCTGTCAATGAGGTAGTTTGATACTGGGTGTCTGCTTGGTGTTGGCTTGGTTGTTCTGTACCTCAATTCGCGACCGGCTTGAGTCCGAGAGCGAGTGTCAAGAATCGTACATCCTAAACCCTAAATCCTAAACTCCCCGAACCGCCTCAAATCCTAAAGTGCCCTAAAGACTATACGAACATTCTAGACCCTTCAAACTGAGGTGAAGGCGCTCCTTCCTCGGCTCATCTCACAGCTTGTGTCCCCCTCCGGGCTTGGCTACGACTGCCGCGTCTTCGGCCTGCTTTGCCAGAGGCCACCGGGAGTTAGGTGGTTGAGTGCTCTAGGGGTTTAGAGCTTTGGGTTTGTGGGTTTAGGGTTCAAAGAGAATGGGACCTTTTGGGGGTTTGGGGCTTCGGTTTAATTCAATCAGAAGGGCTCTTGGGTTTAGGGGTGTCGGAGCATCTGTTTCGTAGGGCAGCAAGTGCAGCCCTTCAGTCAGCGTCGAATGCCTGGGACAGAGAATGGGTTAGGGTTTAGGGCTCAGAGGGCTAGGGGTTAGGGTTTCGGGGCTTAGGGGCTCGAAAAAGTTCTCTTGCCGTTGAAACGTCTTGAGGGTTTCGACCAGGGCGTTTAGGGGCCCCTGGATTTTAGACTGTCTACGGGCATGCACACAGTTTTAAAAGGGATCTGAAAGTGTTACGATAAGGGCTTATAGCTGAAGCTGTAGGGTTCAGGCTTCAAGGGATCTAAGCCCAAAACCCTAGCCGTAGGGGCCTGCAGGAGCAAACTACACGTACACACACACACACACACACACACACACACACACACACACACACACACACACACACACACACACACACACACACACACACACACACACACACACACACACACACACACACACACACACACACACGCACCCACACACACACACACACACTCACACACGCGCGCGCACACACAGAGGATCTGCCTGAAGCTGCAGTAGTCGGCTTTTGCGTGGGTTCTTATTATTATCAGCTATAATATGGTATTTGTGGGACCTTACAAATACAAAAGTAAAATTGGAAGGTTAAGGTAGGGTTTAGGGCTCCAACCAGTCAAGGAAACAACCAGCCACCCAAAGCTGCAATGCTTTAGAAGCTGCCCCCACCCTGTAATAGTGGTATAATAGGAATATGATAGGAGTTTAATAGGGCCCTAATATAATCCTTATAGTCACTATTACAGGGTGGGGGCAGCTTCCAAGCAATGCTCGTGCGCAGGTTTTTGGGTCCCAGATGTTCCGACAGACAGGCCGGGTCTGGGGCGGCTCTCGAGGGTTTAGTTTAAAGGGGTCTATAAGGGTACTATAAGGGCTCTATAAAGGGTTTAGGGTTTAGAGTTTCCATTTGAGGGTCCTTAGAATAGGGATCCTACTAAAGGGTACTGTATTGGAATCGGTTTATCAGGATTTAGCGTTTAGGGTTCAGTGACTTGAACCGCACTGGCATGGGCCACCTAAGCTCTAAAGGTCCCTACGGCGCCAATTAGACCCCAAGCCCTAGTTTTCCAAACCAAAAACCCTTAACCAAACTCCCTTCAGTTTCGGATTCCAAGCAGGGTGTTGGCTTGAATTTGTCAAGGAGTGCTTCTTCTACCTGCATCCCCTCACCGAACCCTAAACCCTGAACCCCTAAAGCCCTAGACCTCTCAGCCCGAAATCCTCAATCCTCTAAGCATCCTTGGGAATATCGGAGAATTGCAGACTTGGCAGTGTCCTGATGGGGACACTGTAGTTGCTTGCTTCCAGTCTATTCAGGACCCGAGTTCCATGTTTGCCGAAAGGGTTCGGGGACGTTATACCGGGGAGTTTCCCAGTCTCTGACCCCTAAGCTCTTAAGCCAAAACTTCGGGCTTATAGGGTGAAAACTCCTGAACCCGTGACTTAAACATCAACCCGACATGCTAAACCAGACGGAAAAGGGACTTTAAAACCAAAGACAAGTAGGCACCACACCCTGAACTCTGGGAGACCCTGCCTGGGATCGGCCCCCTCAAACGGAAGCCAAGTGTAGGCCTCTTCTGAAGCTTTAAAGCTCTGGATCCCTCGCACATGGTTCTAACATAGAAGCCCCACCTTAAGGTTCCTAATTAAACATACTAGAATATGCCCCACACCCTATACTAATCTTTAAGGTCCCTAGATAATATAGGTGGATCCCGTATCTAGGACTCTTCGGGAATAAGCCATGCAAACTTGGGTGGCTCGAAGCATAGGCCTCGCCTGGATGTCCGAGTGGGAGCGCCGAAACCGTCAGGAGCTCCTTCAGCTGGCGATGGAGTTGGTTTGCAAGTGCAGAGGTGCCCCAGCCTGCTTAAGGTCATTCTTACAGGGTTGAGGGAGGCTAATTACAAGGGTTCCCCTTTTGGGTTCTACATCTGTTCTATAATATGAGGGCTGTATAAGGGTAGTAAAGGGAGTTTGGGGCTTTAAGGTTTTAAGTTTAAGTGCTTCAGGTTTTGTGACCAGGCGAGCTCCAACCAAGCCTGCGGAAAAAGGCCTTCGGGGTGTGTGTTGAATGCAGCTTTAAGGCTTTCAAGGGTTTTGCCTTGACGTCGGATGTTTGCATGCAGCTTAAACATATTGGGCCCGTAATAACTAGAATAGGGTTTCGGAGCCCATCATACTAATTCTAATAACGAACCCCAAAATAGTACAGGTAAATATGAAGGCCCCAGTATTAGAAGGTTCAGGGTGAGTGGGCTTCCATAATTTCCGGCTTGGTTTTCCTGTAGAGTTTCCTGGAAACCCTAAACCCTAAACCGTAAACCCCTGAAGCCTTGCATTCTAAGCCCCAAGACCGGAAAATTCAATCCTAAAGCTTATAGAAGCCCTGCAAAGAACTCTTAAAGGAACCCTTTAGGGGACCCTTATCCAGACCCCCAGAAAAAATCATCCCTTAATGCGGGTTCCTATGAAGTACCCTTAGTAGTTGAGGGCCCCAAATTAGGGGATGAACTTTCTAGATCCTCCCGGGGGTCTGGTTAATGGAACCCCTTAAAGGAACCTTATACAGGAACCCCTTAAAGGAACCTTTACAGGAGCACTTACGGTCACTTACGGTTGATGATATAAATCCCGCATTACCCATAGCAAGGAAGATACCATAATTCCCATAATTAAGGGTCCTTAAGGTAATGCCGGATTTATATCATCAACCGTTACCTCCCCGAAACCCGCACGTCGTGCGCTTGCCCAGGCGGAGAGGAAGTGCCGGCTTGGCCCGGCGTGAGGAAAACAGAAGAGGCGAATCAACTCTTCAAGGACGCAAGGGGCCAGGGTTTAGGGCTTAGGGTGCAGGGTTTAGGGTTTAGGGGCCCATGCTGAAAAGGGTTTCGGGTTCCTTGTTTAGGGTTTAGGGCTCTTCAAGGACACAAGGGCTCCTAGGAGGCCAAAAGGGTTTTTAGCCTACGGGGGTTTAGTAAGGATTAGGGTTCCCATAATAGGGTTAATTTTAAGGAATCCCCACCCCGAGAATCTTAAACCCCCCTTTTGGCCTCCCATCAAAGGTCTCCTTTAGGGGTGCTACAAGGGTTCCTGTAAGGGCCCCTCCAAGCGTACTACACAGGTTCCTTGAAGGGCTCCTGTACAGGGGTGTGGGGGTTTGGGGCTTGAGGGGTTTAGGGCTTTAAGTTTTCAGGATTCGGGGTTTAGGGTTCCGGGGATTGGACACCGGCCGATCACCAACAGCAGCGACTTCACGGTACACGGAACCCTCGGGTGCAGGGCTTCGGGATGGTCTTAAGGCATTTAGGATTCAGGACCAGTTTAGGGTTTTTTAAGGGGTTTAAGTTTAGGGTTTGGGTTTTTTTGAGGGATTTAGGGTTTAGGGTTTTTTGAAGGCGCTTCTGCTTTTTGGTTCCGGCCTTTGAGGTCTCATCCATTCCAGGCGCCGCTGGGCAAAGCTTACTAATATGTCTAGGCCTGAGGATTCGGCTTGGCGGGTGTATCATAGGAGGCCAAAAGGGGTTTTAGCCTATGGGGGTTTAGTCGGGATTAGGGTTACCATAATAGGGTTCATATTAAGGAATCCCTACCCCAAGAATCTTAGACCCCCCTTTTGGCCTCCCATCAGTGTAGTTTAGGGTTTAGGGTGAATGGATCCTGAAGGTGCAGATGATGCTCTCCAGTTTGGTAAGATTGGCACCCTGCACGGCAGTTTGCAAAGCCTTCCGAAGAATCCCCAGACCGTGCCTGTTGCCCATGGCGGCTCTCTTTCCGGGCAGGGTCAGAGTACTATAGGGGCCTAAATAACTACCTAAACTGTTTTGGTGGTTCCTTATTAACAGTATACTATAATGTACTCCTCGATTGTCTGCAAGGAACCTGGAAATGCTACGGCCCGGGCGCCTTACAACTCTGACAGTCAACACTAAAGGCTGCAAACAGCTGAATACCCTCAAGCTCCCTAAACCACTCAACCGTGGATAGGGCCGAAACAATTCACCCTAGGCCTTATCCTCTGGCCCACACGACATCTGAAACCCTGAATGCACCAGGAGTCAAAGGTGGCAGAGACCCTCACCAACGGCATGACTAAAGCGAAATGGAAGCCTCCGTCGCTGGGCTGACGGTCTGGATACGTATGATTATCCTTCTGGTTCTGTCAAGTACGAGTGTTATAAACTTCCGCTGACCCTTCTTACTCAGTGGCTTCTTCATGTCGAGAAATCTGGTGTTCAGCTAGTTATCCTGGCATCGGAGTCGTCGTTATGGTCCTCGTGGTCGTGGTCGTCGTGGTTCTGTTTCACTGCTTGGGGATGTACGCTGGCAGAAACCGTCAATAGGGTTTGGGGCTTCGGGTATACCAGGATTGTGAGATGACATGCCGCGCAGCTTCGCCCAGATCTCCTGTTGCGATCCTTCATAAACCCTCAAAGATGAGCTAAATCCCTATTTCCCGTTTGGCTGCGTCTTGGCACGGCAGAATTCTGTGTCAACTAATACATAATTCAACTAGGTGGCGGGGAAAGTCCATCTTTCACAGCAAGATCGGAATTTTCATGACCCAAAGCGCACCAACAGAAAGATAGAGAGAGGGACACAGAGAGAGAGAGAGAGAGAGAGAGAGAGAGAGAGAGACAGAAGAAGGGGATAGAGACAGGCTCACCCTTGTTCATGAACCGTGGGGCCTTAGGAAGCGTTCTCGGGAAAACGCAACACAATGGCACGGTTTGTCCTAAACACAAACTGATGTTCAGATAGCATTGCTGCATCTAGGCTTGGGGCCTAAGGTTTAGGGTTCCCTCTGTGGGTGGAGGATCCCCGGCGTTGCAGCGCTACATCTGACTCTGAATGTTACAACC